AATTGCAGTTATTTCTCCCCGGTACCCCCCGCATACAGTTAGGGGCCCCCGCCGCTCATGAGGCAGCACAGAGGTCGACAGGTGCCCCGCCGCTCATGAGGCAGCAAAGAGGTCGACAGGTGCCCCCGCCTATCATGAGGCAACACAGAGGTGGGCAGGGGCGGCATGAGGCACCACGTCCGGTGACGGGGCGGCATGAGGCACCACGGCCGGTGACGGGGCGGCGCGGCCGGCCCACAATCGCAGAAAGCGCGCGATAAGCACGCGCCTAGTAAGCGAACAGTGACGAGCGCAACCGCAGCGCCTGCAAAGCGACGACAACCACACACTGAAAAGCCAAGCCAGTGACGCCACAACGAATTGAGATCACATACTGCAAAAGGCTGTGGATGCTGACAACACTGGGAAGTTTGAGCGTTTCCTGGATGCGCGGCTTCTCCATACTGGATATACATGTTCCAGCAGCACGCCCTGAGAGCTGGGGTGCTGAATCGCCAGCACAATGCGGCATTCCTCAGTGTGAACGGGTGAAACCAATCTTGGCGGCGAGAAAAGAAGGAAACAGCGGTGAAGTCTTTAAGTTCCGTTAATGAATGTTATTGACATTAATAAACCAATAGCAGCCAACGTTGTGCCCTCCTTGAGTTTACTGGTCACATGAGACCACCCTAGATTTGCATTGACGAAATGTACGTGTATGCTAGGCATGACACTCTACACTGCATAGTTCTGATACAACAAAATCGTGTTTTCCGCCTTTTTTGGTACAACTTAGATCACGCCAACCCATTCGGATGATGGCAATGATGACTGTGATGTGACATCTTGCAGCGAGGAGACCTTTGAGTTATCTAAAGACGGGTGGAGACGGCCAGTGATCGGAGGGACGGGACCCACGGGTGGCAGCCTTCTCTAAACCACCGCACACAACACATCTGCATACGTCGGACGGAACACTACGGTGGCGCCGCTGTCTAAAGCACTGAATCTTTGCTGCATAACACACTGAACCTTCACTGCCTAACGCACTGAACCATCGCTATCTAAAGCACTGAATCTTCGCTGCATAACGCACTGAACCTTCGCTGCCTAATGCACTGAACCTTCGCTGTCTAAAGCACTGAATAATCGCTGCCTAACACACTAAACAACCACTGCCAGACATGAACTCTACGCTGTAGCCCTGTTCCACCAGTGACTGCTCGCTGAAGACGTCACGTATTATTACGTAGCCTGAGCGCGACATAAAAAAGGATGTTACGCGTCCAAGGACGATCAGGAAAGGACAACATACCGTTACACTAGGCACGCTTACAAATAAAAAACCCTGCTCTGATGCTGCTGTCACCAACTGTCACTCGTCATAACTAGTAAGCGGTACAGGCCGACGGTCTTGTTCTTTGGACATGAGCGCTCTCACTTGCTGACTGACTGAACATGTTGTGCATTGGTCAAACACGAGTGCATAAAAAACCGGCTGAGTCCGGGGTGCGCTGCGCCCGTGACAGCCACCGCCGATCGGAAGCCCTATCGCCTCTCCGACGTTATCGCTGGTGATGGCACGGTCGAGATAAACCCAAAATGAAACACGCTCGGACTGACTACGTTCAGGGACTAGCGCTTCGGGCATTACAAGGGCATGGTTGCGAAAGCGTTTATGCCGCCAGTTGCAACATTTCAAAGGCTTCTTGACAAGACGACTGCACGACGGAAAACGGAAAGAGCATATAAAAAAGACGATGGATTAATTACCTGTTCAACCTTCTGTTCCGCAATATTTCTCAGTTCAAAAATGCATTTAAAGCTGCAACATTTCAAGAGTTCTTGAACAAGACGAACGCACCAAGGAAAACGAAAGCATCATGACAGGGCCAGTGAATGAAGGTGCTGCTCAACCAACCCTTTGAATCGCACAGCAAACTATGTCTAAGGGTGTGCCTCCTCCCTCTGACATAACTGGCACATGACAGGCGACACATGATAACCTGACAGCCACATCCCACCCACCTTAAAAAGCAACCTCCTTAAGGCCAATACACTGAATGAGCAATTTACTTACAACACCCTGGGGGTAAGTTGTTAGTTTACCAAAGCGATGCAAGATACATAGCGCAGGGATATCAGTAAGGTTATCAAAACTTATAAAAATAATTTTTTACAACAGATGCAAAAACCATTGAAGTTCAGGATGTAAAATTGGTAACAGTCTCCTGACTGAATACATTTTTATTGATGCATTTAATCTAGCCTTGAAGTACATCTGTCAACGGGCTCTTTGGTTTAATCCCACATCTTTTAACCAACATCTTCTTTTCCAATTATGTGGTTTGCATCCAGAAGTAAGAATATAGGATAACGCAAGACGCGCTCGTCACAAAAGTCAAGGCGAATGAGAAGAACTATCAGTACAAACGCAGAGCTTGTATACTTGCAGCTTGTGCCATTGGACAGACATAAACAATCACTGTATCGACTGGACAGTGCGCGCCGTCCAGTGCGAGCGCGTGACTTTACTGGACGGCGCGCGCCGTCTCTGAGGGGTGGTGTAGTGCGCGTGCACGACCTGACTAGACGGTGCGCGCCGTCTCTGAGGGGTGGTGCAGTGCACGTGCGCGACCCGACTAGACGGTGCGCGCCATCTCTGATGGGTGGTGCAGTGCGCGTGCGTGACCCGACTAGACGGTGCGCGCCATCTCTGAGGGGTGGTGCAGTGCGCGTGCGTGACCCAACTAGACGGCGTGGGACATCTCCAGGATCGCGTGCGTTCGACTTACTGCCTGAGGCCGGCGATCCGCTGGTAAGCCGCCAGCTGCAGCAGCGGTGACATCTGGCGGACCAACCGAAAAGCTCGGACAAAGTTGCCCGACTCCCAGGCGCGGCGAAAATCTAGCGCCAGCTTCAAATCCCTGAGGCAAAATCGACCTGCGCTGACAACGCATGAACACCAGCGCAAATTCTCTATTAAAGAACCAAGTACTTCGATGTCGTGAGATTCAGCCCCATAAGCATGTGCACGCTGTTGGCTGACTGGAGAACATCATCATTTTTGGCATCAGCGGGCATACGTACAAACCAGTCGGATGAAGTATCCACAATCTGGTGAACGCAGGCATATTCACAACCGACACGCTAATTTGTTTTACGAAGATTCTGGACTCTGGTAATGTCTTCCCTAGCTTCTGCAATCCCCCCCCCCCCCCCCTCCCCCACCATGTCACCTTCCGTCACATGCTCCAATGTCGCCCTTTGCCCGTTTTTTTCCCGTCCACTCCTGGCTTCCGGTCCCGCACCACCACGGTCTCGGGCCCCGTCCCCCGGCTCTTCCGTCCCATCCCCTCCCGGTCTCCGCTCCAGCTCTCCCCGCTCACCTGGTCTCAGGCCGGGTCCACCCCGGGTCTTCCGTCGCGTCCCCTCCCGGTCTCCGCTCCAGTTCTCCCCGCTCACCTGGTCTCGGGCCAGGTCCACCCCGGGTCTTCCGTCCCGTCCCCTCCCGGTCTCCGCTCCAGTCGTCCCCGCTCACCTGGTCTCAGGCCCCGTCCTCCCCGGGTCTTCCGTCGCGTCACCTCCCCGTCTCGGATCCAGTCGTCCCCGCTCACCTGGTCTCAGGCCCCGCCCTCCCCGGGTCTTCCGTCGCGTCCCCTCCCGGTCTCCGCTCCAGTCCTCCCCGCTCGCCTGGTCTCAGGCCCCGTCCTCCCCGGGTCTTCCGTCGCGTCCCCTCCCGGTCTCCGCTCCAATCCTCCCCGCTCACCTGGTCTCAGGCCGGGTCCAGGCCGGGCACATGCCAGCGCCGCCCTCGTCCAGACTGAGCAGCAGGTGGATGGCCTCGAAGCGCTCGGCGATCGGACGCGGGCCGCCGCCCGGCGCGGCCGCCTGCAGCAGCAGCACGCCCAGCACACACTCGCGCAGCTGCCGGCCGTCGATGTGACGGTCGAACGCGTCCGCCGGACAGTGACGCGACCTGTCGCAGGCACGAAGCGGACCGCCTGAGACACCGGGCTGCCGAGCGCGCCGTCCGGGACGCCATCCCGCCTGGCAGGGCGGCTGGCGCCCGTGGTTGCACGGAGAGCGGCCCCAGACACGAGGTCGCGTGAACCGGAGCACCTATGACCCATGACGGCACGACGTCCAGCCCACTTCCGTAAAAGCGGGAGAGATTCGGATGCAGCAGGAAGGGCGATGAAAAGGGCAGTCACGTCTTATTTCACAACCCATACATGCAGAAGCAGCATTGAAACAATCTTGCGAACCTTAAACTATGTGGCATCATCGACATGCAGGGTAACAGTGATGCAGATCATGCAACATGTCCCCAAACACCTAAAATGTCTGCATTTAGCACGCATAGCTTCCACCATTGACGGAAGGGGGCAAAGCGCCTTCGGACACTGCTACCCTGACTGACGCATCGTGGTGCCGCACAGCCCCATACGGCAGGCGCCGAAGGATGCTCCACCGGCCGGAGTGGCGGGCTTTCGTCCGGACCGGCCGGAGTGGCGCCCACTCGGGCCGGAGTGGCCGAGCTCCGAGCTGTACCCACCGGTAGCGGGCGTACAGATGGAAGACGGCGCAGCGGCGGAGGACGGCGAGCGCGGCCGGACCGCGCGCCTGCTGCACCGTCAGGTCCTGACGCACCGCCCGCAGCCGGTCCAGGCAGAAGCCGTACACGGCCGGCCAGCTGGCGTCCGTCCGTGGCAGCACGCTGGCGGCACGGCGGCGGCGGCGGGCTCAGTGAGGGGCGACGCGGCTGTCAGCGTCTCCACGTCAGACGGAACACACCACGAGGCGCGCGGAACAGCCAAACACTCGCTCGCAGCCACACTGGTGTGGGGTGAGAGCACGTAACTACGGCATTATGTGCAAATTCATTTACACAACAAAGCGGAAATGTCTCCATGCCGGAAGGCCAGCTCCTTGTCAGCAACACCCCCCATCCGCCAGTGCGCGAGGAGCCGGACAGCGGTTGCAGACACCTGTTCAGACACCTGTTCAGACACCTGTTCAGTATGTAGTCGGTGGTCTGGAGCAGAACGGCCGGCGGTCGGAGGGCGGCCGGCTCACACAGTCGCCGCCCTGCAGCCGACCGCTGGAAACTCTTGACCATGCGCTCAGGGTCGGCACGCCGTCTGCCGGCCGCACCGCGAACTGAAGCCTCATCAGCCTCCAGCAGGTGGATCAGCCGCTCCCGCTGACGCCTGTGGCAGAAGTGGCGACCATGGCAGGGTATAAGATGCCCCGAATTAAAATAACCTTTCCACTTCCACAGGGAACTCCTACCGCCATGAAGTACCAAACGCCTGGTCTACCAAAGCTAACCCAGCCTGGTTCTTATCAACCCAACCCACTATTTTGATTGTGTATGATTTCCGAGGCAAGATATATGTCGTGTTCAGTGGATGGGTTGGGGTATCTCACTGTTTCCTCGAGTCACAGTGTCCGCTCACGTGTCAGTGTTTGTCCGAAAGCTCAGATGGTTAGGTGGCCTGTATTCCCATTAACCCGCCCATGGCTGGGTACGACTGCCTCCCAACTACGATAGCCTGCGGCCGGTGACAGTCGCCATGCTATACGTCACGTGACATCAAAGCGCAGGACGGACCATGCCGAAATTGCGGCGCATTTGGACTTCTTCGCCAACAAATTATGCAGTTGACCTATAATTTCACGACTGGACGTTGAAGTCAAGGCTCAAGCAACAAGCACCGCTTAGCATGGGCTCTGATACCACAAACCCATCTGTCCATAGGTTCAGACTAATTCTTTCAAAAAGTGTTAGTATGGCTGACAGCTTCGAGCTTCGAACGTCGTCGGTAAATTGATAAACTTTCATCCTTCCAGGTGGTGCAGTAGTCGTATCACTGTATACCAATCACAAAACTGTAGGTATATAATTTGAAGCTCTCAGAAAACCCAGATGTGAAGATATGTACATGGTGACAGGCAGAGAGGGATCAAGACTTTTGCTGTTTTTCTTTGGGAAGGGGAACCGTTCTTGTAGAATGCCATTTGAAACACCTAGTGGCGTGTACACCCTATATATATATATATACACATATATCAGTCACGACCCCGGGGTGGTGGCTTTGGCTCAGGTCGCTGTGTCGCGCGTGGAACAGCTGCGTGCGGGGAGCAGGGGGTCACTGGAGGAACCAGCCAAAAGAAAAGCAGATCAATTTACTTCTTGAAATGTCAGTGTGATAACAAGACAACCATCCACCAGCAATGAACTACCGGAACTAGACCCGCAACCGTCGTAAGCTTCGGGTACACGTTGACTGTTGACACAACCATGCCCCAACGATAGCAAAACGAGAAACTTGCGCAATTTAGTGTTGGAAGTAGAACTGTGCAGGCACACAACAGCGCAAGTCCGGCCGCATTGGGGAGGGCGCAAATCTTAATTTCGCGACTTTAGAGGGGTATGGCATCTTTGCCCCCTTCCCCTGTCCTGGATCTACCCTTGGTGACAGGTCGATGCTGCTGGGTCATTCCATGGACCAAGTGGCCCCTATTAATGGCTGAAGGTGCAAATTAACACTGCAGATGACAAACATCCAGGCAATATGTGCACAAAAGTGCAGGGCATGACTTCACAAAACCATTCACTGGATATAATGACATCACTGGACACAACTTTGGACACTTAGGCTTTAGCATAGCACTAACCATAAATGCATAAGCCAAAATAGAATCAAGATCATATCAAATAAAAACAGCAGAGACACCAAACTTAAACCAGTGGGAAGCCTGCATTCTCCAACTTACCACTTAACCTCTGCTTGGGGACACATCATCATGCAGGTTCCAGTAATATTATTCATAGCAGCAATACCTGAAAATGAGAAGCATTAAAGCATGCACCATGAAGTGTCACTGAACTCAGATTGGCTATGGTTTAGCATACAGCATAACATTCTCATTGGCATAGGCATTCTCATAGTGTGACAAATTTAAAACAGAAATCTTATAATGTATAGCATTTGGAAACTGACATATCACAATCATTAAATTGCATGCATTGGACCTGATGAAGTTTTGCCATAGAATCATGTGGTAATGAGACATACTTGGTTATCAGCACTGGTTTCAATAATAACAGAAGATTTTAAGAGGAAATAAAACACCTGACCTGTAATGAAATCTAAGCACTTATGGCACCAATCAGATGTAAATTCTAAACTAATGGTATCTCAACACCCATCACAATTAAAAATCACCACTTTCACCATCTTTGGTGACAACAGAGGTAATTTTGGCAATAGCTTGAAAAAGTGTCTTGAAAGCAAGCAGATTCCTTGTTACCCATTGAACTTTCTGTCATAAATTGACAGCAATTTTGCTGTGCATGGTTTTTATACCTAACTTTTAAAAAAATAAGAAGATCAGTTTAAACTCAGTGCAAAAAAAGGGTATGTTGGAAATAACCACAGAATGTTCTGCCACATATGTATTATACATGTGTAGGCTCTGACCATCAAGCATGTGAACCTTGCCATGAAATATGATCAAAATGCTCAAATGCTTTATATCAGACCACTTCCTAAATCTTTGTTTTCATAAATCCATGTGAAGTAATGGCACTGGGCCCAGTCATGCCAAAAGTGTGAGCCTCCCTAGATTTTTTAAGGGGGGTGGGGGCTCAATGGTACTTTCAAGTCATTTCTATTTATGTACCACCTAGAGCATGCTGCACAATTTCCCCTTAACTTGTTCTGTACTAGGATTGCTGACCACGTCTTATTTTGTGCATGATGGCTTCCTCTTTACCTAACCAGTTATTGGTCTGCAAAATATCCATCTATTTTTATGAGTGCTTACTTATTATCAGTGAGATGAACCTGGAGCAAGATTATGTCCAACTCAGGCCATGTCCAAATACTTTGATCTGAAAAATGAGTTGAGAAAAATGAGCACTTCAGCAAGGGTAAGCTTTTATATTCAAATTCTTACCAACAACCAACAGTTTACAATATTTTCTCATAGTCATGATCATTTGACATTTGAACACTCAATACAGCCAAGATTCATTGTACCTCACTTTACAGGAACATGTTGTATGTAAATTGCCATCTTCACAAGATAAAACACCATCATTGATCATAAAACAGGGGCATATTTTCCATCAATAATACTCTAGGCTATAAGCTTGTGTAGAATCTTGCCTTCAAAATGTAATGTTGAAATAAAAAATTGTTATATTTATAAGAACACCAATAATTTCATAAGGCAGCATATATTGCTGATAGCGAATAATCATACAACTTGTGGAATAATCCATCTAATAAGCAGGTAACTAAGGTCATAACTGCAAGAACATATAATTCCAATACCTATACCCTCCAATTCACGGCTTTTTTTTACTTGGGTACCTGTATTGCCGACGGTGGGGAGAGCTACGCTGGCTGCAGGGTTCCTGTACTGCCGTGATGGAGAAATGCTGTCAGGTATCAGCCGACGTAGTGACGTCACTGAAAATGGGTTTCCATCGATCGGGGTTCTTTTGGGCCAACTGAAGGCTACAAGGCATTTGCTAGCGATATGATGTCACTGGTATTCGACTGGATGTGTGACGTCACTGGTTGTGAGGCTTTAGGGATCTTTTGGGTGTAATGAATGCCGTAAAGCATCACCTGACGATATGTCGTCGCTGGCATTCAATGAAACATCAGGCGCAACAGGCCTTATTCCATCTTTACCTTTCGTACCTGTCTGCTGCAAGCATTTGCGTGTCGAATAAAAGCTTGACCGAATCACCTGAATGCGTGACGTCACTAATCATCACTTCATACGAGTGCACTTAGGCCCCACGGCCGCGGTGTATCATGTTCCGTGAAATATCACCAGGTATCGTGACGTCACTGATATTCGACTAAATATTGGTCGCAACAGGTCATGCTTCATTTTTACCTTCGTACCCGTCTACTGCAAGCACTGGCGTGATGAATAAAAGCTACCAAATCACGTGAGTGTGTGACGTCACTGGTCATGCATTTTTATGGATCTTTGGGGGCCAACTGAGAGCCGTAAAGCATGACCTAATGATGTGACGTCACTGGCATTCGACTGTGTGTGATGTCACTTGTGATCAGATTTTACGGCCTCTTTTGGGCCGACGAAAGGTCATACGACATTAACTGAAGATGTGACGTCACTGGTATCCGAATAAAATTCAGGCGGGACAGGCCATGCTTCATCTTTACCTTTGGTACCTGTCCATTGCAAGCATTCGAATGCTGAAGGAAGGCTCTGCCGAACTACCTGAGTGTGTAACGTCACTAACCATTAATTTATATAGACTGCTTTGAACCTACCGTAAGCCACACCACATCAGCTGACCATATGACGTCACCGGTTTTCGTCTAGATGTCATGCGCAACAGGCCATGCTCTATCTTTGCCTTTCGTACCTGTTCACTGCAAGCATTCGCGCGCTATATCGAGGTGGTGCCGAACCATCTGAGTGCGTGACGTCGCTGGTCATGAGTTCATACAGGCTCACTTGGGCAGCCCAATGTAACAAAGCATCATATCCTGTGAAGCATCGCGGGATGATATGACGTCACTGGTATTCGACTCAACATCAAGCGCAACAGGCCATGTTCTATCTTTACCTTTCGTACCTGCCTACTGCAAGCATTCGCGTGTTATATGACGTCAATGGTCAAGAGCTCTTACGGGCTCTTTTCAACCCCCTATATGGTATAATGCTTCAGCTGACGATATGATGCCACTGGTGTTCGACTTAACATCAGGCACAACATGTCATGTTCCATCTTTGCCTTTCGCGCCTGTTAAAGTATTGGCGAGCCTAATGATGGCTCTGTCGAATCACCTGAGTGCGTCGTCATGAGTTTTTACAGGCTATTGTTGGCCGAGTGAAAGCCATAAGGCATCATCTAACGATGTGTCGTCACTGGTAATCCACTAAGTGTGTGACGCCATTGGTCATGAGTTTTCCCGGGCCTTTTTCGGCCGACTTAAGGCCATTAGGCATCAGGCAACGATATGGCGTCATTGGTATTCAATTAAGCATCAGGTACAATATGTCAAGTTTCATCTTTACCTTCAGCACCTATCTACTGCAAGTATTCGCGCGCCACATAAAGGCTCTGCCCAATCACCTGAGCGTATGGTGTGACTGGTTATGAGTTTACGCGGGTTTACTCGGGCTGACTGAAGGACATCAAGCATCATCCGGCGATGTGACGTCACTGGTATTCAACTTAACACCAGGCGCGACAGGCCATGTTCGTCTTTATCTTTCGTACCTGTCTATTGTAAGCATTGACATGCTTAAGGAAAGCTCTGTGAAATCCCCTGAGTGTGTAATGTCACTGGTCATGAGTCCTTTATGGGCCGCTTTTTTGTACCTGTAGGGTACAAGACATCAGTTGACGATATGACGTCACTGGTGTTTGACTTAATCTCAGGCGCAACAGGCCATGTTCCATCTTTGCCTTTCGCACCTCTATACTGCAAGTACTCGCGCGCTACATAAAGGCTCTGCCGAATCACCTGAGCATGTGGTGTAACTGGTCATGAGTTTACGCGGGCTTACTCGGACTGACGGAAGGACATCAAGCATCACTTGACCATATGACGTCACTGATATTCGGGCTGTGGCCCAGACTTATGACCGCTAGGCGGCGCCCTTGATTATTATTTAGCCATCAGGGCATTCCGGACCGTAGCTGCTCAGGGGCGCATCCTGTGATGTCGGGCGGAATAGCTTTGCATATACGTCGGTTTGTGGGCTGGGATCACCTTTGTTTTGTGTTTACGTTTGTTCAAAATTTTAGTCGTTGAAACAGCCCGTTGCGTTTGAAGCTGCTACTTAATGGTGCGCACAATAAAATTAGTGTGCTTAACTATGGTGCATCTCCCGCCTCTGCTGCGGAATTTCGTAGCCATAGGTGGCCAAGTGACCTCCTGCCAACTGATGATCAGTGACGTCACGTACTCAGGTGATTCGGCGGAGTCTTCATATAGCACGCGAATATTTGCAGCAGCCAGGTACGAAAGGCAAATATGGAACATGACCTGTTGCGCCTGATGTTTAGTCGAGCACCAGTAACGTCATGCCGTCAGCCGATGCATTACAACCTATAATGGGTTCAAAAGAGCCCATAAAAACTCGTGACCAGTGACGTCACAAACTCAGGAGATTCGACGGAGCCTTCATTCAGCACGTCAATACCTTTAATAGACAGGTACGAAAGGTAAAGAAAGTACGTGGCATGTTGGACCTGATGTTAAGTCGAATAACAGTGACGACATATCATCCTGTGATGCTTCACGGGAGGTGTTGCTTTGTGGCCTTGGGCGGCCCAAGTGAATCCGTATGAACTCATGACCAGCGACGTCACCCACTCAGATGATTCGTCTGGAGTTTAGTCGATTACCAGTGACGTCATATCGTCAGCTGATGCTTGATGTCCTTTAGTCAGCCCGAGTAAACCTGCACAAACTCATGACCAGTTACACCACACGCTCAGGCGAATCGACAGAGCCTTTTTGTAGCGCACGAATACCTGCAGTAGGCAGATGCGAAAGGTAAAGATGAAACATGGCTTATTGCAATTGATGTTAATTCGAATACAAGTGACGCCATAACGTTATCTGATGCCTAATGGCCTGAACTCGGCCAAAAAAGGCCCGTAAAAGCTCATGACCAGTGACGTCACACACTCAGTGGACTACCAGTGAAGTCATTTCGTTAGCTGATGCTTTATGGCTTTCGCTCAGCCAAAAATAGTCGTAAAAATTCATGACCAGTTACGTCGCACACTCAGGTGACTCGGCAGAGCCATCATTTAACGCACCAATACTTTACAGGTACGAAAGGCAAAGATGGAACATGACCTGTTACGCCTCATGTTAAGTCAAACACCATTGGCATCACGTCAACTGATGCATTTTTCCCTATAGAGGGTTCCAAGGAGCCAGAAAAAACTCATGACCAGTAACGTTACACACCCAGGAGACTCGACAGAGCCTTCATTCAGCACGTCAGCATTTGTAATAGACGGGTACGAAAGGTAAAGATAGAACATGGCCTGTCGCGCCTGGTGTTAAGTCGGACATCAGTGACGTCATATCGTCAGCTGATACATTATACTGTTTGGGGGTACAAAAGGTCCCGTAAAAAGCTCTTGACCAGTGACGTTACTTACTCAGGAGACTCGACAGAGCCTTCATTCAGCACGCCAATACTTCCAAGAGACAGGTACGAAAGGTAAAGATGGAACGTGGCCTGTCGCGCCTGGAGTATAGTCGAATACCAGTGACGTCATATCGTCAGCTGATGCTTGATGTCCTTCGGTCAGCCAGAGTAAACCCGCGTAAACTCATGACTAGTTACACCACACGCTCAGGTAATTCGGCAGAGCCCCTATGTGTCGCGCGAATACTTGCAGTAGATAGGTGCGAAAGGTACAGACGAAACATGGCTTAGAGCATGGCCTGTTGCGCATGACGTCTAGTCGAGACCTAGTGACATCATATCGTCAGCTGATGCCTTGTGGCCTATAGTAGGTTCAGAAGAGTATACAAATTAATGGTCAGTGACGTACACACTCAGGTAATTTGGCAGAGCCTTCCACGGCAATGCTTGCAATGGACAGGTACCAAAGATAAAGGTGGAATATGGCCTGTCGCGCCCGAAGTTCATTCGAATACCAGTGACGTCACATCGTCAGTCAGTGCCGTATGACCTTTCGTCGGCCCAAAAGAGGCCGTAAAATCTCATGACCAGCGACACGCACGGTCGAATGCCAGTGACGTCACATCGCTAGCTGATGCTTTATGGCCTTCAGTTGGCCGCAAAAAATCCGCCAATACTTGCAGCAGACATGTACGAAAGGTATAAATGGAGCATGACCTGTTGGCTGATGTTCAGCCAAATACCAGTGACGTCATATCGCCAGCTGATGCCTTACGGCATTTCGTCGGTCCTAGAGGACACGTGGAAACCCACGACCACTGACGTCTTACAATCGGTCGTATAGCAGTGACGTCGTTAGCTGACACCTTGTGGTCTTCAGTTGGCCGAAAAGCACCGGTGAAACTCGTGACCAGTGACGTCACACACTCAGGTGGTTCGGCAGCTTTCATCCAGCACGCCAATGCTTGCAGTAGTCAGATACAAAGGTAAAAATAAAGCACGGCCTGTTGCGCTCAGTATTTATTCGAATACCAGTGACGTCACGCTATCCGGTGATACTTCGCAGACCGTGACACACCGTGGTCGTGGGGCCTAAGTGCACCCGTATGAAGTGATGATTAGGGACGTCACACAGTGAGGTGATTCGGTCAAACCTTGATGCGGCACGCAAATGCTTGCAGCAGACAGGTACGAAAAGTAAAGATGGAACGAGGCCGGTCGCGCCTGATGTTTAATCGAATACCAGTGACGACACATGGCCAGCTGATGCATTACGGCATTCGGTGGACCCAAAAGAGCCTTACAAACTCACGACCCGTGACGTCACATATCCAGCCGAATACCAGTGACATCATGTCACATTCAAAAGCCTTATGGCCTTCAGTCGGCCCGAAAGGACCCCCATCCCGATCGATGCAAAACCATTTTCAGTGACGTCACAATGTCAGCCGATGCCTCACAGCTTTTCCCCCGGACGACAATACTCGAAACCCTGCAGCTAGCGTAGCTCTTCCCTCCGTCGGCCATACAGGTACCAAAGTAAAAAATTACCCAATTCACAAGAATTTGCGAATAATACACACCTGCATATCCGCACATAATGAACCGCAAAAGATGATGGGTACCAATTTTTCATTTAATTTCCATTTTTGGGGAAATTTTTAACCTGACACCTAACTTCAGTGTTTAATCTACACAACAGTTTTCAATTTGCACACCCACCCACCGGGGCACTACCGGTTGTTGTTGTTGGTTTAGGGCGCTGCACTACCGGCAGTACTTGATGGTGCGTCAAAAATGGCATTACCGCGCAATATTTCGGATTATTTGATTTCCCAAGAGTTTCATAATTCTTTACGGTATTTGCACAAACGAGTCTCGATAAAACTATTATGCCAGAGCTCAGGATTAAGCTCATTAAGCTTCATTACGGTAGTCATTGTGCTTAGATACATTTTGATATAACTAGCATGCTAATTTTCTCGTAGACGTCATCCTTTCCAAACCAGCATTATGTTTGAGAAAGCAAAACCAGCATTATGAGTGACTTTCAGCACACAACTTTACCCACCGTATCACCTCGCATGAAATGGTAAATATACATGGAGAAAACATGCTCTCAGTGTCATGTTTTAAGTTCACATAGCGTTTTGTGATGCTACATGTCACTCCAGCGTATAATTTCAAAATGGCTAGTTTACCAATTGTCGCTAGATGGCAGACAAACCCAAATTATCCAAGCGCCGACCGTGAGACCGCCCAAGATTCCCGAGCCCCTCGGACGACCAGGCGCGGACGAGGAATGCTGAAGCGCCACAGCCAGTGAGGAGTGCTTGCTTAACCATTATCTGCCGGATAACACTAAAGATAGCTCAAGTGCGGGATCAAGCCGTGCCAGTGCTGGCGTGTGGATGCCAGATAAAGGCGTGCACTGCGCGCCTCGCCGTCCACCTGAGCTGACAATCCAGGCCGGAGACGACAGGTGTGGTGTTTGCTTCGTGTTCGCCGCACCGGTGCTGCAGTCTCCCAGCCGTCGATCCAGCGAGACCAGAATGGGATGTGCGTTTGACTAGCTGGCCGCCACATCAAGCCGACACGGACCATACGGTGAGTACATTGAGGAATGGCCGTTTCGAGACGTTGACCCCCAAATTCATTCATTGGTTTGGTATTTCCTCGCGCGGACGTGCGCCGCGCCAGGAGAAAGTGGCGGCTGTCGAGACGGGCGGGCCGGCCGCGCCCGCTCCGTTCGGGGGCCTGCCGTGTGCGGAGGCGGTCGCAGGAGCTGTCCCGTCCTCTGACCGGCTGGATGCACCGGCGGTGTCAGAGGTCAGTGTGGGCTGTCCAAGCGTGACGTGCCGGGCCTGGGCCGGCCCAGCGCCGTCGGCAGCCGCGCCGGCCGTGTCCGCCAGCTGTGCCTGGTAGCGGCCGCGTACTCCGCGGCCAAACCTCAGAGTCGCGAAAAAGACGCGCGACTACGGCCAAGTGGACGTGCGGTGCTGCCGGTGGTCAGTGCATCCAGTCGTCGCTCGGGTGAGGTTAGTGACCGTCAGAAATACCACAAGACATACAAAATGGAGCCGTTCTCGAGTTTGGCTACAGCTGTAGCGCCGCTTGGTTCCGGGGTCACGTTACCATTCTGTATCGGATTTCGCCTATGAAGCCTAGCTCACAGGCCAGCAGTTTTGTACCTAACCTGGTGAGTTAATTGATCGGGAAATTCTGTATCCCTCGCAAGATTGGAACGTCTAAATTGTTTGCCTATTCATATGCTAGTGCTGCATTTTTTACGCTAGTTGTTAAATTGCAAATTTGTACGGTTGGGAAGTATGATTATCGCGCCAGCATCAGCGTAATTTAACCACCGATGTTCCTTTTGGGTCACATCCAACCATAATTATTCTCCAACGCGCGCTCACCGAAGAAATGAGGTCACTAGCACGCGCAGCACTCCGTCGTCGATATCATAATTCAAGAGGTTGGTGCTTTTGGACGTCAGTTTCCAGCTTCTGTGCATGTAAGCTGAATATACAGAGCAGGATTGTCACTTATGGGACACCTGAATATACGTCACACTCACAGCACAAAGCTAGCTGCTGCTCGTCCGGTTGTCAGCCATTCATCGCAAATTGTGTCTGTCTGCTACCGTGAGCGAGTCGCCCCGACATGGCCGCTTGTCGCGTGACAGGCACTGATAGTGCAGCCGAATCGGCCGCTCTGTCTGAGGGACAGGCGCGTCGGATACCCGTGATGTACGCTCCCGATAACGCCATGAGCGACCACCACCTCTGCGATCCTGGGAAACCCTGCCGTCGCAATCGGCGGATGCAGGCGGGAGTGGCGGCGAGGCCAGCAGACAGTGACCTGTATGTGGTGTCGGCGGGACGCATCAGCAGTCCAGCTGCTCTGGTGTAGACCTCTCCCTCCGCGGTGCAGGCCGGCTCGGAAGACAGTCTCCTGGCGGCTGATGTCCTCTTCCCTCTTTGGTGCATCCCCCTGCCCCATCTTCAGCCCCATCCCCTGACGGGGCTGAATCACTCGTACATCACTCGTACATCACATCACACATCAATCACGGGTACATCACTCGTCACTGGCTTTGAAGCGTTGCAGAAAGACGGGTCTCAGGTCTCTCACAGTCCACGACTGCTGTACGTCTCCAGTCATAATAAAACCTCTAATCATCTGTGAATCTAAAAAATGACTACTTATTTTCAAACAGTTTTTATGGATGATGATCAGTCATTCTGTCAACATAGCCGATATTTACAGCAATTAAATAACAATGTGAGGCCGATGAGAGGACAGGGAAATGAAGGTGGGCAGGCTAACCTTATGCGTCATTGTTCTGAAAGTGATCACCTGATATCCATTCGTGCGGCGGGCCCTTCACGTGCGATTATCACGTGGTCAGCCTTTCTTCAAAGTGTAATTTAATGGCAAATTCCTCACTCGTGATTTGCAAGCCAGTGGTGTTGCGTACCGTAATTTCACTGGCTTGTATGCTCTGTCAATTAAATTGTGTTATGGGAAGAGTTTTGTTATGTTGGGCGCAAAATGACCAGTGCAGTCGACGCGCCTGAAAACATCAATAAACATAAACAAAGAGTTTTGTCATGCAAACGGCACTCTTCAGATTTTGCGACCGTGGCTTTTCGAACATTCAACCCTTGCGGTGCATAAAACAAGTGCGAGAGATGCCTATCTGACACCCGCCCGGATCGGCAATCACGAAGAATAATACACTACCCGGTTCCGTCGCAGGCATGTCTTTGCATTGTTAGAGGCGTAACCGGTCCCAGCTTTTTTCAACGTCAAGGCTTTTCTTGGTCTCAGCGTTCGGACGCTTCAACTACACTTCAGACACGCTTCAGACACGCTGCCACCTACACAGTGACCGTCTCATACTGTAGACACGTATTTGAAACACGCCAGAACACTTGGCAGAAAACGTCTGAGGACGAGCGAACGCAGTTAAATATTAGCCCGAAAACAAATGATTTAACATTTAAGTCCGTGTTTCAATGCAGGATATCAGGCTGCTGTGTGGGTTTTAGGATTTCGGTACTGATTTTCAAGTAACGTCCTCGCATTTAAGGTTCAAGGATGCAAGAATTCTCAATGATCCACTCTAGGCATTCAAATGTATTCCAACCTTGCTATTCCGAATTTTCAGCTCTAATTTTCTTGATAAACTCCGCCAACCCATCGCCGGCGGACGGCAGTACCAGCGGGGCAGAGGAGGCATGGCTGAAATGCTTTACTAGAAATGGGCGAAGCCAACATACATCAGACGGGTCAGTCGAAGTGGGCCGATCCAACAGAGATCAGACGATTCACCGGAAGTGGGCGGAGCCAACCTGGATAAGACAGGCCACTTAAAGTGGGCGGAGCCAAGGGCGGAACAACGCATTGACTGGGCGATATCCTCTGTATGTGCTCGATATCTGTTCATCACTTCTTAAATCTTAAATTCTTGTTTGATGTGAACGGACTTTGATAAGAAAATTAGCTCAAGGTCTGAAACGTCCACTGCAAAAACGTGATATTCGAAAATTGTTCCTTTCCGAATGCTTTCGCCGAAATACGTGACCTAAAGCGATTTGACGTTTACAGAAGGGATGTCCGACTTGGACGTTAAAGGCAGTGTCGTCAAATTTCTCCGGAGCACCTGATTCTCCACGTGCATTGGCTATTTTGGCGAATATTTTCATCGAATTACATTGCTATTTCCGCAAACATATTCCTTTCGATTACATTCTCTCTCGTTTGTCCACCCGCCACCCGCGTATGTGCTCATATATCTGTGTGTCTAAAAAAGCTGATATGTGGGGACCTTATTCTCTTATTCTGACCATAAATAATTCGAATAAGTCACATTAAATTTCAAAAGTGCGGTTATGAGACCATTCCAATCCCGTGAAACCATGATGAATCAGGCTTCGGGACATCAGATAGGCTCTATCGTCGCCAACGCCGCCAAAGCCTCGCCTTCGCACATACGGCGAATGCGGCAGAGTTTCAAACTGATTAGCAAGGTGGGGGATCGCCACCATTTGCGAGGCTGAATAGCGCTGCGTGCGCATTTTGGCAGCTTTTTGACGTCTGAAAATTTACTCTAGCTGTTTGTAAAGTGCTTGTGACAGACCTGATAAGTTTTCTGATAGTATATGCTTTCAGAAATAGTCCACCGAATTCCATGCAGGTCATTTTGATGGTATCATCCTACATCATCGGGCGTTCTGTCACAAACTGATATCCTCCTGACAGCGAATTTCCTACATCTGCGTTCCCCCGGCTGGGTGTGAGTGTCCTTGAAGCAAATGGAACGAACTCATTCCTCTGGTTTTATTTATGCGTGGGCTAATCGAGCAGAACCAGCCGAGAGACCGGAGGGATTCTCCAACCTGTGCAGCCGCCTCAACCTGTGCAGCACTCTATCGTCTGTGAAGGCTGCGTTAAGAGTGCTCTGCCCGCTGCTGTGTTTAGTCCGCATGGACCGGCAACGCTGTTGGGGACGAGTCCCGGACATCTTGTGACCCTGAGCCGGCCGGGGACGGGCTGGGAGGGCTGGACGCGGCTGCAGCCCGCACAAGGTCGGCCACCCGTCCAGCCGACTCCAGCGCCGGTCGAGAGCCGCCTGAGAGAAGCTGCCTCCTGAGGAATGCCGCCGCGTCTGGAGAGCCGCCAGGCACCTAGCCAAATTTTCCCCAGGGAAGCAATATCAAACTCTCCCGAAATCGCGTGAATCTGGACCGGCTTACCGGAAAATCACTCGATAGTTTGTGTAAGGAGGAATCCCACCGCCTCAGGAGTGCTTCGCGCCTGGACAGCCAGTAACCCAGGAGTACCGACGCGCCAGGAGTGTCCTGGCGCCGAGTGTGCCGTCGCACACGTTCACTCGGCTGCCGGCCCGGTCCGACAGACCGTGAGCCGCACCCACCAGACGCCACCAGGGCGACGGCAGCCTGCACGGGCGTGGGAATACACCCGTCAGCCAGCTAGACGCCGGGACACTCCTACCCAGCCGGGCTGGCGCGAGAACATGACGACAAATGGACAGGGACCGGGGCACTCGGGAGCGTAGAGCGTCACCTCACAACATCTTTTGAAGCCTGCTTCTGGTCGGGTCCTTAACAGTAACTTCTTGAATGGCTTGCCAGCCGTGAGGACAGGGTGATGGGGGCGTACAGATGTGCGGAGACGGCGACCGACCACCGGATGTCGGGCAGAGGACACAGCCCGGCGTGAGGGCGCGGTGCGTCGCCGGATGTCTGCCTATCGCAGCTAAAGGATTACCTGGCGATTAGTTGAAATGTTTTGTCGAAATACGTCGTACGACAATTAGAGTAACAGCTGTGTGTGTTCACCGGCGTGAAGGGCATGTCGATTGCTGATGCAAGCTATCACACATGGCCGCGTTTGATCCAGGGGCGTCACCAGAATCGGGTACTGCGGGGAGGGGAGGGGGAGGACAGCCGACGGTATCGGGAGTCAACCAGGTGTTATGGGGATGGGGGTGGAGGGTTACTGATTATCTCCGCGAATTAGACCATCGCCACCCTAAGTCGTCACCGCCGTCAGTGTGGTCACCGAGAGTAGTGTGT